TGTGTGTGTGTGTGTGTGTGTGTGTGTGTGTGTGTGTGTGTGTTCTCAGTTCCTCAAAGCTTCAAACCAGAAATAAACCGGACAAAGTCTTTTTATTACCGAGAGCTGGGTCAGCACATTCTTTGTACAGCTCGGGGGTGCAGTACGGTGCATCGCCTGCAGCCAAAGCAACACACATTCTCATCAGTGCATTTACTTTTGTTTAAGCTCTTTCAGTCATTTTACAATGCAGCATGATTGACTCCGACTCAACATGCAGTAGGTGTGGTTTCCTACCAGGCATGTGCACCATGCGACAGTTGCAGTTGTCCACCAGGTAGCGTGTTTCACAGTCGATGCGACAGGCTGTGATGCTGTAACTATCAAAGAAGTCTGAATCCATGGGCGTCACCTTACAGTCTCCCCAGGGTGGGGGAAGATAAATCAGCTGCAACACATCATACATCACATTATTCAACTGTTTTTCTGCACAATTACTGCTTCTGATATCTCAAATCAATGTTAAATAAAGGGAAAATCCAACATGAATCAAAGCCATGATTCTGCCACTTGTAGAAGAATAAACCATACAAATTCAAAAACTAGTTTGTGTGGCTATGACTGTTGGAATGTTGCTTTATTACAATCTGGACCCAATTTCCATGGTTTGAAATAAACTCCACGGTTACGAAAGACAGAATGATTGAATCATTGAATGAACAATTTGAAGATGCCCCCCCCCCAGCCAATATTTGGTAATGTAGTCAAACATGAAAAAATAATTTGCAGCCCTCGTCTGATCACCTAACAACGTTTGTTTGTTGCCATGTTGTAATGATATTGTGTAGTGATTTATTTCATGTATAACTGATAGAATAGATATAAACAAAGAATACCAGTTGAATTAACCCAGAATTATCTTAAAAACAAATTCCACATGCACATGTTTGTACCCTTTGTTCTTGGCAGGAAACAAATGTCTGGAATCCAGGTGCCACTCCAAACCCGAGCTGATCAATGAACGACGGCTCGTCCTGACTGTGGATCTGAACTTTGACCCCGGCTTCAAACGACGTCTCGTCTGCAGGAAGACAAAGAGCGAGAGAGCTGAGCAACACTCTGTGAAAAGTTATTTCACTAATGGATTCTGACACTTGGAAGAGTTTTCTGTCTGAGTTTCACACTCTGAGGAATTAACGCCACACACACACACACACTGTGACAGATAATCAGATCTGAGTGGAGGAAATAAAGTTCGCCTCACCTGTTTCTCCCCACACTGGCAGGTATTCATCCTGCTGAATGTCCAGCATGAGCTCAAGACCATTACCCATACCTCCCTTGGTGGTGATGAGGAGAGGGCGTCCATCACCGCCTGCATTAAAGGTGTAACACTTCCCGTAGCGAGTGAAGACCTGAGACACATGAGTGGAGGAAAAAATAAAGTTCTGATACAGTTTTTTTTTGGGACATTTCTCAAATGTTTGCTGTTTAAGTGAAATAGTTGATCATGTTTTCTCTTTGAGCCTCAATCAGTCATTTCAATTAAACCATCTTTAATAATATCTGAAAACATGAGTTTTTTGCAGTGGGTTAAAAACCCTTTGTTGGGTTATGTTATTTGATTTAAAATGCAGTAAAAGTACAATAGTTACATCTGAGGTGTAGCTAAGTATATGATAGCATGAACGGAAAATACTGTTAAAGTACAGGCAGCATAGGATCTCATTGCAAAGATGAAGAGCTTTTTTTTCAAAGATCCTAACAATAGTTTTCCACTGGGGGTCAGTGTTTGTCGCAGTTCCTCTCTCTCTGTGTGTGTGTGTGTGTGT